AATCCCGGGAAAAAAAGCCTTCCCCGGGGCAAGAGGGGGCCCCGGGGGGGCCGGTTAAACGAGTTCAAGAGGAAACGGCCGCTAGGGGGGGTACTTATTTACCTAGGTTAAAGGGGGCTTTGCGGCCACCCCCCCCCCCCATCTTGGGCCGCTACGCTGGTGGCGGCCGCCTCGCCTGTCAATCCCGCCGCCTCCCCTGTCATCCCGCCGCCCGCACCACCGCCGCCACCGCCTCGCGCCTCGCCGCCGCCGCCACCGACCGCCCTCCCCTGCGCCGCTGAGCCGTGAGCGCGGTGCAGGGGGCGAGCCCCCGCTGCGCAGCCTCACCGCAGTGCACTGCGCTCTCCGCACCCCTGACGATTAGTGAGGAGGTGGTGTTGCACAGCATGGAGCTCGGCGAGCGTTTAGCGAGCCCCTCAGCTAGTACATACATAAACACGGGGGAGGTATGTATGTAACTAGTGAGACGACTCGAGATTGGTTCGAGATTGGGGCAGAGCGAGTGGGAGACTTTTCGGCGGGCGAAATGCGGCGGTTTGGATGCGTCCCCTTTGGGACGACCTGTTGGTACGACCTGTGGGACGACCTGTGGCAGCGACCGATGCCGTCACCGGACGCGGCGGCGAGGCACACGGGCGCCGGCGTGGCGCGTCGGCAGGCCCACCACGAGCGGATGCGCGACGAGCGCGCTCGGGAAGCGGCCGCGGGCGACGCGGAGCTTCCGCCGGAGGACGACGCGGTCGAGATGGCGAGCGCCGCCCAGCTGCTGGACAGCGTGGCGGAGGTGGGCCCGAACTACACCCTGCTGCGCAGCAAGGAGACGAAGGCGAAGCGGCGGAAGCGACAGCGCGAGGATGCCAGGGCGGCGCTCGACGGCCACACTGTCCTGCCCACCGGATCGCGCCTCGAGATCTTCTGCGACAGCGAGCGGTGGTACCCTGCGACCGTCATGGCGCGGGAGGAGGACGGGGACGGACGGATCGTGCACGAGGTCGAGTACGACGGCTACCCGGATCGGCGGTGGTGGCACATGCTGGACGAGGAGCGGTGGCGCGCCGTCCCAGAGCAGGCCGGCGCGGGCGCAGGCGGCGCTGCCGGAGACGGGGATGGGGATGCGGCGATGGACCGCGTGGACGGCGAGCATGGCGCCCGTGCCGCGGGCGACGCCGAGGCGGCCGAGGTGCGGCCGGCGCCGCCTCCTGTGCGCCGGGGCGTGCGGCGCAGCGCGCTGGCGGACGCCCTCGAGGCGGAGGATGACGAGCAGCAGGAGGAAGCTGCGCGTGGCGATGGGCGGCCGATGCTAGCGCCCCACGGGCCGGCGCTGTCGGCGCAGCTTCGGGTCGTGCGCCTGCGGCTGCGCGAGTTCCTGGCGACGCAGGCCGCGGCGGGGAAGAGCGTGCCGATGCAGCGGACGGCCCTCGGTCTGCACCCGACGATGCGTGACGATCCGTTCGCATCACCCAAAAAAACCAAACAATTTTTTTCTTTGTTTTGTTTGTTTTTCTTTGTTGTGTGCTTTTTCT